ATGCGTGTGTGTGAATAGGAAACATTGTTTGTTTTCAGAAACGACAATGTACGGTATGCAAAACAAATAAGTCTCTAGAAACTGAATGCGAGGTGTGCAGATCGTTTGACTGTTGACATTTGACTGTTATTGTTTAAACAGTTTTAGTACGAATAACTTTCAACACTCAGTTTTAATGTTTTAATATGCTATCATTATGCTATATACCATTTAGCTATGCGCGATGTGAAATTTTAATTGAAGAGACGTCTTATATTGACACGGAAGGTTACATTTTCAAAGGGATCTCATTTATATATGAACTATCCGTATGGTGACGGATTGAGAATATGGAATTTCACCAGACCTCTTCATCTCGTTGGTGTCGTACGAGCCAACTAAGGGAGCAAACTTCGCAGGACAATACCACTGCACATAGTAGGATAACTTGAAACAAACCGTATACGAACCCGTCTAACTAGAATGGTACAGTACGCCAAAACCTCCTTTCTAAGGAGAGGCCTATGTCCTAGGATTATTAAAGGCTAAATGTGATATGTGCTCTCATTAATATAGGATAGGGTTTGGTATAGGGTATAGGGTTTGTTTCAAGCTTTCCTTCTCTTTGCAGTGCTGTTGTCCTGCTTAGTTTGCTCCCTTAGTCGGCTCTTACGACACCCACGGGATGAATTGGGGTGGTGACAATTTGTATTCTTAATCCGTTACCACACGGACTACACAACGTGACAACTTACAATGACAAGTGACGATAAACTTGTAACTAATATCAAACACTGGCAGATTAAACATGCGGTATATTTGAGATTCTACTTGGTTTATGGCCAAAAAACTATTACTAGTGGCCAGTGTTTGAGGTGGCCTGCGAGCACCGCTGCCTGTTAGGACACACGGATGTACAGGCGTCTATTGTGTTTGGAGCCTGAACTGTGGGTATGGAACTGGTGTCATCCAGCTTAATATTATAATAGCTTTTTTTTATATTAAAGCCGCGCAAAATATTTTTGCAAAATTTAGTCAGCTAATCGTATCATGCAGCGACGAGCTACGTAAAATAATCACACTAATATTTGATGTACACGTCTTAAACACCACGATGATCATGAACACAGCTTCTAATAAATACGATTAGATCGTAACATCATCAGGAATGTTAATAGGCAATCAAAAGCGCTGATTGACTTAAGTCCTGCGATGTTATTTCGAGAGATGGTGCTGTGTTTAATGTTTTAATTTTTCTGTTGTCTTGTAATTTATGAGCACAAAGCACAAGTAGGTATATATAACATATTAGTACGTTTTTTTTTATTTTTAATGGGATACATTTGATTATTAATAAAAACTATGATTATATTTATAAATAAGGGTAATTTTTATAAGTTGCATGTAATTACATTATGTTAGTATGTTTTGTGTTTGTTAACCTTAGTATTGTCTAGTATTATTTTACTTAATTATTAGGTTTAAAAATGAGAAGTAGAGGAATTTGATTAGTACTGCCGCATCACATGTAATTATGAAAACTAATAAATAAGTAGGTCAAGTTAAAGTATACGAAATTCGACTAAACGTTAAAGTTGAATGGTAACATTAGGATAGGTACAGTTTACTTAAAATGAAACATAAATGTGTAATACGTATTGGTGTTTCTATGTATAATATGTATGTATTTACAAAAAAAAAGTATAAAATATATTTATATCAGTTGTCTAGTACCCATAGTACAAGCTCTGTTTAGTTTAGGACTAGATGGCGTTGTGTGAATGTGAAAAAAATATAATAATTAATCACTAGAAGACCAAAATATATAGGTTAAAGGTTCTTAACCTTTAACGAAAGACCTATTTCTTAGCTTTCCATGGATTCACCGTGCAGGTGCGGGTACATCGTATAATAGATGGGGGCAACACATGCGACTTCGACAGCGCCTGGGAATTGCGAGCCAGGAATATGTGTAGTGAGTACTCCTTGCGACGCGTCAGCCCTCACCTCCACTGTCTGCTGTGTTACCCCCTCTGCCTAACCATATTTGATATGACCATATCAATACCGCTTTGTGATAATTGCAATATTCGTTCTAGAAAAGAGCTTACTGGAGCTCTTGGCAATCCAAGGTCTTTAAGCAGGTTATAGAGGAATTTAACTAGTATACCCATCGCACCCACTTCCACGGCATACAACGCAACGAAATAACCATTTTCAATTATTTCGTGGGTTAAGTCAAAGTACTTGTTTCTTTTTAAAGCGTGGTCTTTAGGGGTGTTCGTTTCCCACGGAACCGTGAGTTCTACTAGTACTACACGCTTAATTGACATTGTACATTAATATGTTTAAACACATATTTCTTATATTATTCTTCACTTAGACAAACAACAAAAATCTCCAAAAGAAACAACAAAAGCTACTAAGATATTCTTAAACTAATCAACAAATAAACCAAGCACCTGGACGAGCTCTGGGGAAATCATAGTTAGTTATTACACGGACAAACACAGCGAAGTTAGCCACTTAGCAAATCAATCGGAATGAATTGGACTCCCACACCTGGGGATTTCTGCTAAGTTTTGCGGGCTAAGCGTAGCTGGGATTTGACATGACACAACATGATCAAATGTATGAATATTTTAGTAAGGTACACACTTGTTGGAACATGTTTTCTCATTTTATGAAAAAAAAACTGGTCCGGAACCGGACCGGTTCCGTACCTACCCAGATTTTACGTAGATTTTCGCGAAAATTGGTAAGTACTAAAATTTATCTTAATTTTAAACTTTTTTTATGTTTTGGAATTATTCCTTTATTTGTGCTGTAAGACGTTTCTTTTTGCTAAATTTCGTGATACTAGGTCAACGGGATCTACCATTTAGGTTTTCGACCCAAAACCTATAGGGTACTTCCGGTTGACCTAGAATTGTGAATTTTAGTTAAAAGCAAGGTCTTAGAGCACAACTAAAGAGAAAATTCTGAAAAATAAAAAAAGTTGAAAATTAAGGTAAATTTTGGTACTTACAAGTTTTTGAGAAAATTGAAATTTGCCCATATCTTTTTATCGTGTTGACTCAGGACCTTGATTTTTATACACCTAATAGGGACCATAGACCTCAGTATCTGGTATAAATTTCCACTTGCTAGGTCTACCCGTTCCTGAGAAAATCGGTGGTGATACACGGACAGACAGACAGACAGACGGTCAGATGGACAGACGCACAAGAAAGTAATTTTATAAGGGTTCCTTTTTTACCTTTTGAGGTACGGAACCCTAAAAAACAAATTATTTGACGAATTTGTAGTATCTTGTTGGTTCATTTTTATTTGCTTAACAGTTATGTATGTAGTCTTAATTATATTTCTAGAGTATGATAAGACATATATTAAAGCTTGTATCCCCGAAGAAATGTTAATAGTAAATTGGCCACTCCCTAACGCCCACATTTTGGCAATTACAACTAGGTTCCACTCATATAATGAAACTTATCGATACAATATATACAGACAGCCTTATGTATGTTTGCTTTAATATATTAATTAAGCCTACACAGATTCTTAGACTTTCGGTTAACTATCGTCGAAATACTTTAATGTACGAAGTGCAAGAACTTTTAATAACGTTACACGTAAAGTAGTCATAGATTTTTGAACCAGCAGTTTCTAAAGAAAGGCCTATGTCCAGCAGTGGACTATTAAAGGCTGTTGACTTTCTGCACGGATGGCGTAGTAGTTGAAGCGGTCGCCACGCCGCTTACTACTACGCTGAGTGTTGTGGGTCCGATGCACACATAGGATGACACTTTGTGTCATCCACAAATTGTTGTTCTGAGTCTGGGTGTTCTTTGTGTCCGTTTCATAAATGTTTGTAAAGTCCCCCGCGACACAGGAATATATTCCTAATGCGGGAGTGTCTCTTAAAAAAAAAAAGTTGATTATGATGTGATGATGGCTTTATGACATAATTTTTAAATATTAATGATGATAATGATATTTGTAAAGAGTTTTTAAATATCAGACTCAACTTTTAGAATTTATATAAACTACTATCGAATTAATTAAACCTGCTTAACATCAAAGCTTTATTTGTACTTTTGGATATATTAAGAAAGTGATTATTTTCCATTGATTTTGAAAGTAGAACTATTGTGAAAAAGTCTTTTGAAGTCAGATAAACTAGTGGACTTATTAAAACTAGTGACCTTATTCAATCATCGTCAGCCTTTAATAATCCACTGGTGGACATAGGCCTCTCCTTAGAAAGGAGGTTTTGGCCTACTATACCACACTGGCCAGACGGGTTGGTATAGGGTTTCTGTCTGCTCCATGGCCGGTAGCGACAGTTGTTTTACCGCGGTCGCAAAATTCTGGGAGGAAGTAATCTCGCAGAAGGAGGCGACGGAGAAGGCCGGGGAGGACGACCTCCACTCGGACCCGATCCGCCGCCGGCGAACCGGGCGGCGGAGGCGCGCTTATTACCGCCTCATGCCGCCCTGAGTGTGGCCGCGGGTGGACGGGGTGGGTTTCCCCTCCACCCGCATCAGTTTGGCCAGCCGCGAGGGGGCGGCGTCCGCGTGTGCCAGACGTCGCCTAAAGAGAGGTTAAAATTTTGAGACGGAGCCCGCACCAGGAGCGGGCAGGCGCTAGGAGGGGTCCGGATGTCTTAATGACAACTGTTCCCGGATCCCTCCTATTACAGGCGCAGAGTGGCACACCGTGTGGTTTGAGTCGGTCCGAGTCCGACACACCACCCCGCCGCAAACCCCGGTGGGGTGACGGTCCGAGGGGATTTCCTCACGTAAAAAAAAAAAAAGGGTTTCTGTCAAGTTTTCCTCCTCCTATTCATTCTTATTCTGATAGAAAAGAAACCCTTAATCCCTTTATAGCTAACCTTACAACCTTTAATTACAATTAATCCCTTTTTTTTCGGCAAAAGTGAAATCGACGAAGTCAAATCAATTGTAACCTATCAGTGAACGTAGTAGCGCCATTAAATGAAGAGCCGGCGAAATGTTACAATGATCAAAGGGTCGGTGTTATTGGAACTGCCCGTAATGTCACTGTGAGTAACAATCATTGTGAAATGATGAAGGTCTAAAAGATTGACAGTTGGAGATTGGGTATATCATTCTGCTAGATATAAAATGAACTTTGGTGTAGTAGTAATTAAGTACAGTATCGTTTTATCTTCATTAATCACTCAACAAAGGCGACGACTAGATGGCGTAGTGGTTTGTGTAACAAACTGCTGTTCCAAAGGTCGCGGGTTCGATTCCCGCTCAAGTTAAACATTTGAGTGCATGAACATTTAATGTTTGATTTGGTCTGGGTGTTTATATGTTTAGTATGTATGTATTTACACAAAAAAAAGTATTTATGTATTTATATCAGTTTTCTAGTTCCCATAGTACAAGCTCTGCTTAGTTTGGGACTAGATGGCGTTGTGTGAATGTATTAAAAAAAAAATAGTAAAAATAGCGAAAATGCTGAATAGCGAAGTGAGTTTTTAACATGATTACTATTTATTGAGTTTTTAAAAATAAAGAGTTCAGTTACAGCATGCTAGGTAGGACAACTTAAGTTGGTATTAAAATATTTCTCGTTTACTTACCAGTATGTGTGTTTTTCTTCGACTCTCAATTTTTCTAAGTATTTTCGTCTTACGCAGGGATTAAAAAGGAATATAGATGTCTCATTGATACATGTGATAGATGTATTCAAAGAGTTCTGAGTCGTATTTTACACACCGTTGAATACAAATCGTCTAATTGGATCTATCTGTTAACTAAAAACTTTGTCGTCTAGTTTAAAGACATGGCTTTCTTGGTTAACAAAAGATTTATTCATTTGAAATACAAATCTGCTAAAAGGTTTAGCTATCAATTGTACAACTATTTTCTTCTTACTATTTTGTGTACCATATCTTTCTATTACAGATACGAGACGTACAAAGCTACGTTAAAAAAGATCCCAGCGACAAGACTCTCTAGGCTTACGGAGGCACTCGCAAACTACGACCCGGTACTCAATGAGTACTTTTTTGACAGACACCCTGGAGTCTTCGCGCAGATCCTCAACTATTACAGGTAAGATTAGCCTAAGCAAAAATTCCTGATAGCTTGAATGCAAAAGGCAATAAATGCTGTACATCATCAAGCTCATCATCATGCTGTATCAACGTCTTTCTTTCAAAGCTCTCGGATCTTGCAGCTATTATGTAGTGTGTGATGTGTGAAGCTCGATTAATCACTATTTCAACATGATTGGAACACATTGCTCGGCATTACTGAGCAAGTTTTGGAGTCATTTATATTAATCTATGAGGTTCTGCCTTCAGCTTTAGTTAAATAAATAGTTACTCTTCTACTCTTGCTCGGTGTTTCAGATTACTATGATCGATTAAAAAGTAAGTTTTTATTTAACTAGTTCCCTTTGTATTCCAATTATCATTGCCGGTTTATAATGCATAATCTATTTCAAAGTATTTGTCTTTAGATGGAGCTGATTTTTTTATTTTGCTTCAGTGACTGTTTAAACATATGGTAGCATACAAATGGATAAAATCATACAAAAGTTGAAAATAAGCAGTCTTATTTTTAACTTCTGTATCATTTCATCCATATATATATATATATATATATATATATATATCACAGATATATATCATAATTGTCCGTGTGGTGACGGATTAAAAATACGGAATGTCACTACCCCAATTCATCCCATCATACACCCAGACACAGAACAAATCACCGTGCTCAACACACAATATTTGTCCTGGGGGGCAATCGAACCCACGACCTCCGGCTTAGCAGTCAGGGTCACTAACCACTAGACCAACAGGCCCGTCGAGTAACATAGAGATGTAAAATTAAATTTAGAACGTGTGTGAAGTCCGGATACTCATGCCGACATGAATGATTTTGGTTGTTAATGATGCTCAATAAACACATAATATATATAATTAACCGTGTGGTGACGGATCAAGAATACAGAGTGTCAATAGGGGTATTCATCAAGTGGGTGTCTTAAGAGCCGACTAAGGGAGAAAACTACGCAGACCAACAGCACTGCAGAGAGAAGGTAAACTTGACACAAATCCTATACCAACCCGTCTGGTCAGCGTCGTATGGTAGGCTAAAACCTCCTTTCTAAGGAGAGGCCTATGTCCAGCAGTGGACCGTTAAAGGCTGTTGATGTGATGATGATTTCTAAGAATGACATGTATTTAGTCTGGTTCATTGTTGGTAATTTTGATGAACAATGCAATTTGCATATTAAACTATGAAATATCACTTTAGTGACAAAACAATTTCCAGACCGTTATTTTATTCAGAGTTTTTGATGAATGTATGCTGATGAAAAATGACAAAATCCCGATCGAATATTGGGAATAACGAATGTTTGAATTATTGCGAAGCCGGTGGGTGATTGGTATTGGCTATTAATTTAACAAACAATACGTTTTGTCTTTTGTATATCGCTATAATTTATTGAGAGCAGGCAGAAGAATGATTGCACTTTAGAAACTGTCGATAAATAATGGTTTACATAAATGTTAAGTATACATTTTGGGGTTGTGTGTTCTGAAGTAAGATACGACCTCCAAACCTTGAAGAAAAGAGCGTAATCTCATCATCTCATACCACCTTAATGCAGGCAACGGAGTTGTGGCTCTTGATTTGCAGCTGTCATGGGTAACGGTAGTCATTACACTTCTCATCTAATTCTGCTATTTTAATATTGTATCAATGGACTGTCGATGGAATGTCGTCGGAATAGTTTACTCTTTTCGTATTCTACTAACTACGTAAGACCAAAATGGCCTCCCGATGTCTTATCACTAAACTGCCACTGATAGAAATGTCGTCGATGTCTTCGTAATAGTTTGGAAAACCGTACAATTTGTAAGGAAATTATATATTTAATTTGCTAGATATGGTAATGTTGTTGATATCACCATTGATGAGCCGTTGTCACTGTATCGACAGTCTATTGACACCGTGAATTTCTGATAGTAGAATATCAATTTTGACCGATATCAATGGCATCTTAATAGCGTATCAATGGAATGATAGTGGCTTGTACGTTAACATAAAATAGAAGAATTGAGGAGGTAGCTGTTTATACAAAGGGTAACTTAGGTCCTATCAGAAAAACTCTATAAATTTTTGCGCGGTTCGGGAATTGAACCCACTAAAGCTTTTCAAAAATATATGAGTATACATATTTTTTTTTAAGGAAACAAAACAAGTTAGGGTTTGATTTTATATAATTATAGAATTAACATTGTAAAGTTTTACAAGGCTTGCAAACCTACGTGTATGGTTATTTTCAAGTCATAAAGCCAAGGTTGAAAAGGCCAAGAAAAGGTTGAAACCCACATAAACATGTGGTAAGTTACACGGGTATATTTTATGGTGTGTATCGATGTAAATTACTATATGGTTAACTTAAAAGCGAAAGAGAAGAGGGTTTGGTTTTCGTCGCATTTAGTTGAGTTTCTTTTATACAAATAGAATGCTGGTAATTCATACTAACATTATAAAGGACATAGGATAGTTTTTATACCAGAAATCATCCTTTAAGGGGGTAAAAAGTGTTGGTGGAAGTTTGTATGGGGAATCAATAATCACTAAACCGATTTAAATGAAATTTGGCGTTTGGATAGTTCGAATCTAGATTAATGACATAGGCTAATTTTTACCGCGATAACCGCCATTCACGCGGGCGGAGCCGCGGGTAAAAGCTAGTGTTTTATAATAAGGGAGTTAGTTAACTGTATAATATAAGTGGGATGCTTCCAGAAAACCGGTGTTAATCAATTCTTTCCTTTTAGCCAAGTAAGTGAAGTAACCGGAGACCATGGGCGGCGGTAGTCACTTTCCATCAGGTAGCCCGTCTGCTTTGTGAGCCCCTATTACATAAAAAAAAAAGTCCTTCACATAAATACTGGAGCTGTGTAGTTCTATGTAGCCGTTTTTTTAAGCATTTCTGTTTAATTAATCGAAAAAATAGCCACGCGTGCATTTAACGTGCATTTAATTTCATCGGCGGTTAATGATTTTCAATACAGACTTCCACCCCCTTTTAAACCCCCTAAAAAGACGACTTTATGGATAAAAACTATAAACTAGTATTCTATGTCCTTTCCCGGGACTTAACTATCTCTATACAATATTTCATCTAAATCGGTTAAGCGGTTTAAGCATGACAGACAGACAGACACACTTTCGCATTTATATTAATAGTATAGATTTAAGCCCTATTTATACTTTTACATAAAAAAAGTATTCCAAATATGATATGCTCCTTTGAGCCATATTAATTTAAAGAAAGGCAGAAAAAAGTTACTTTGCGTATTATTATTTACACATATATATTTTACTTTCTGTTCTGGCTCTAAGTTAATCGAATCAAGTAGTTTGATGTCTATTTTGTGAGCATTTCTGAAGTTCAAGTTACAATTATAATCAAGTTACCTAAGTTGGTAACTCAAGTAATTAGGTTAATTACTTTGAGATAACTTACGACACGTGTTAACTCACACAGGGGATCGTTTTACCGTACAAATGTCACAATATCACAAGAATTACGAATATTGTTCAGGCATTGTTTGTTATTAATCAACAGAGTATCGGAACTTGATACTATCACGATAATTTATTTACCTATGGGCACGGGAGTGCACGGCCGAGTTCTTGAGTCAAAATCACTACAGTGCCATACTTATACGACCTTTTTCGATCCCCTAACACAGACTTTTTATAGTAAAGTGGCTAAACTAGCAGATGGGTCTTGCTCTTTTATTTAATCTGAAGATGATTACATTTCCAAAGAAGGTTGGCGTAAGGCGCTCCGAATACCGGAAGCAGTCATCGGAGTGGATCTCTCGCTACCGGCCGTAGTTGTTTTACCGCGGTCGCAACCTTCTGCGAGGAAGTAATCTCGCAGAAGGAGGCGGTGGAGAAGGCCCGGGAGGACGACCTCCGCTCGGACCCGATCCGCCGCCGGCGAACCGGGCGGCGGAGGCGCGCTTTCCTGAGCCTCATGCCGCCCTGAGTGTGGCCGCGGGTGGACGGGGTGGGTTTCCCCTCCACCCGCATTAGTTTGGCCAGCCGCGAGGGGGCGGCGTCCGCGTGTGCCGGACGTTGCCTAAAGAGAGGTTAAAACTTTGAGTCGGAGCCCGCACCAGGAGCGGGCAGGCGCTAGGAGGGGTCCGGATGTCTTAATAACAACTGTTCCCGGATCCCTCCAATTACAGGCGCAGAGTGGCACATCGTGTGGTTTTAGTCGGTCCGAGTCCGACACACCAACCCGCCGCAAACCCCGGTGGGGTGACGGTCCGAGGGGATTTCGACACGTAAAAAAAAAAAAAGGCGCTCCGGATATCTCAATATTAGCAGTTCCCAGATCCATTTTATTTTAGGCGCAGAGTGGCACACCGTGTCGTTTTAGCAGGTTTGATTCCGACACACCGCTCCTCCGTAAACCCCGGTGAGGTGACGACCCAAGTAGGTTTCCAAACTTAAAAACGGCGTGAACGGTCTATGGAGCCCCGGCCAGATTTTTCGGTCTCGCTCCCATTCACTCCAAACGTGTAACACGCGATAAAGAACTTCGTTTCAAAAAAGACATGCAACTGACCATAGAACAATCAGCGTTTAAGCTATGTTACATGCCGCATCAACCAACAAAAAATCGAATCAGACATGAAGATAGTTAGGTGTACTTTCAGCAATAGTTTGGGCCTTATTTGCCACATAGGTTTATTTATGGCTTTATCTATTAATTCCATGTTAGACGTGTAAATTGTAGTAACATTTAAAAGGTCATGATCCCGATACCGATATTTTGATCATATTGCTCCATTCCTCTATTACTATGATGAAATTTGAACTACTAACAGAAGCTAGAATAAGTAGGTGGTCCATATCTTCTAAAACTAATATTTCTACGTATCGGCGGTCGTTTATATTCAAGAGATACTATTTATACTGGAAACCTCATCCTATAAAGTATACTTTGAGATATTCGACTAAAACAAAAACAGGATGGATTAGACACATTTGCTTTTCATTATAAAATGATATTTTCAAAGACTTTTGTCTACAATAACATTGGATTATTTTTTCATATGGAAGTCCTTGAGAATCATATGTGGAAAGCAGCTGAAACTACATTTTATATAACGTTCGATTCATACAAAAATAGCTAAACAAAAATAACTTACAGGAATCATTGCGTAAATGTAAACGAAACGATTGAGTTACTTTTAGTTTTAGATACATTTTTATGGTTATTTTATTAGTTGGATTGTTGGTGACCGTGACCTTGAACGCACATAAATATTTAAAGGTCATCCGACTTTACAATATTTATGTGCGGATAGATTTTTAAAAGTAGAACAGAGATTCTTTCATTGAAAGAGTTTCACTTGAGTACTCGTCGGAGAGTACCTTGACTCAAATGTGTGTATCGATGTAAACTGTGGTCTTGTTAACTTTAAAATCAAAAGAGAAGCGCGATTGATTTTCTTTGCATTCTGTTAATTTTTGTTTTATTGAATTAGAATGCTGCTAATATTTTTCACAACAGGGGAGTTAGTTAACTGTGTAATATAGGTTGATTGCTTGTGTTAAGCAGTTTTTTCGTTGCTCTTTACCGAGTAAGTTTACTTTCCTTTCCGTGTTACGGATTAAGAATACGGAATGTCACCACTATTCAACCCGTGGGTATCTTTAGAGCCTACTAAGGGAGCAAACTACGCCGGAAAATAGCAATGCAGAGAGAAAGAAAACTTAAACAAACCCTATACCAACTTATGGTATAGTAGCCCAAAGGCCCCTTTCTAAGGAGAGGCCAGCAGTAGACCATTAAAGGCTGTTGATGATTATGAAGTGAGGTTACTGGAGGTCCTTCCTTCCTCCCGGAAATTTCTGGGGAGGGGGGGGGGGAGGAGGGTACTAAATCATTGGCAACGCATTTGTTACCATCACCATTGGATTATCCGTCTGCTCGTTAGCCTCCCATTACATAAAAAAATACACACAAAATTAGTGCTGAAAGGATGACGAAAAGATTAACTACTAGACTAATTTTTCGCTGTTACCAAGGTAGGCTTATAAAGTAAATG